GGGTTGACCTTCGGAGACCTGTGAGGGAGAATGTTGATAGCTTCGAAGCTCTTGTGTAGTCAGGTGTCGCCGAAGGCCTTCGGGCGAAGGCCGCTAGCTTCCTCTGCGTCGGTCCTGGGAGCGGCGATTTGACCTTCGAAGGCTTCCGTGAGGTCTGATGGTCTGAGTCCGCATCTAAGGATGAAGCCGAGGAAGGTGATGATCTATCCCAGCCCGAAGGCGCCGAGCTGTACATCTGGGTCCTTCGTGGAGGTGGTCTGCGCACTTCGCCAGCGAAGGTGGCTCCGTCGTGGCTGTTGCGCTGATGGGGGTGCCTCTGGGGGTGTGCGTCTGCGTTGGAACCTTCGAAGGCTCAGGCCTTAGGCTGGCTGCTTCCCAGTCTGTAGTGGCCCTCCATCATGATCATGATTTGCCGCAAAAGTTCATCTGGGATGGTCTGCGACGAATTAGTCGGTGCCCTCTCTGCGATGTTAGCGGCCGGGGCCCTCAGGGGAAGTGGAATCTACAGCGTCAGTGTATAGACCTTAGGCTGCATGGCGATCTCTGCTGATGTCACTGTAGCTGTCTCGGTCGCTTCTTGTGGCGTGCGTCGGGATGATGATCGGCTGATCATCAGTAGAGAGGCCAGTTCAGCGGCTGGAACAATCTCGGTTGAGAAAGTCCTAATAGACTTCGTTGATTTCCCCTCAGAGAATTACGGCTGCCCTGGGGTCTGAAGTCCTCGTTGCCTGTTGTCGACATCGGTCATTCTTTTGATGTACATCAGGTATGATGATCGGCTGATCATCATACAGGCCCAAATCTGCGGCCAGGGAACAATCTTCGGCTGAGAAAGTTCAAGTAGACCGTTGATTTCCCCTCAGAATTGGCGTTGAGATGCAGTAGAAACCCTCTAGTCTTCGGCCTGCGACGATGGGATGTCTGGGGAAGCAGGACGCTTCTTAGAGGCGGCGGACTCGTCCCGCATCTCCACCACTCTAAGCGGAACACCAGGCGCGGGAGGGTCGACCAACACAAGCAGTAGACTGGCGAGGGGTTCAGGTGTATCAGTCATGGCTAGACTCTGCATCGCGACCTATCTGCTGCGGCGTCTCAAACGCAAAAGTAATTATTTATTAAAGGTAGAATTGGATAAATTAGTATCGCGAACTGCTGCGTGAATCACATGAAACATGAAGCAGTACAGCTAGGGGCATATTAAATGCGGATCAGCAGCAGAATAAAAAGCGTAATGTGCAACAGTACAGAATTTTATCAGCGTAATCCACTGAAACAGCAGCGTCCGTGCATAAACAGTAGAAACACGGCTAAATATCAATATATAATTGTTGAAAGATACTAGCTAAACCTCTATAGATCTCTATACGCAGGTAACTAACTAAATATAATCAAAGGATATAGTGTGTCGGGAGACACAGGGCGCCTCCACGATCCAGCTCACTGGGGAAGAAGGAGAGTGAGGCACATGGGTAGAGGTGGCCCTCGCGTTCCAGCTTGTGGAAGGGAGGTAACTTCGTGGTGTACTAATTAGTGATTTTACATTGAAGGGAACTTCAATTAGGGAGATACAAGTGTTCCACTATGTTAGCAAGAGGAAGGGAGACAAGCAAAAGAGCATGAGTCAGGATAAGGAAAAAATATATATATATGGGTGTCTAATGTATAAAGTTTGTCAGTATGAAGATCAATCACTCAGTATATATATATATATATATGGGCGCCTAATGTATAAAGTTTGTCAGTATGAAGATCAATCACTCAGTACATATATATATATATATATAACGCCTAATGTATAAAGTTTGTCAGTATGAAGATCAATCACTCAGTATATATATATATATATATATGGGTGTCTTATGTCTGAAGTTTGTCAGTCACTAAGATCAATCACTCAGTATATATATATATATATATGGAAGCCTAATGTCTGAGAAGTTTGTTATTTATGACTGGATATTCCTATGTTTGGCTGGCTCAAGATGTTGGTGATCCTAATCATTTTCTTTACATTTTCAAGCAGCACCTAATTGATAATGTTATTTACAAGACTGGCATTATTCAATCAATAATTCATCTTTTCTTGAGCACTATAAACAGCGAAGCTATCCCTTCTACAACCGGAAATGTACATATAAAGCCGCTTAAGGGATAGAGACCTGGGAAGAGCTTTCTGTAAAATGAGAATATCACTCCACGATTTTGTTATAAACAGGAAAAGGTGTGAGAATGGTGTAAGTCACTTATATACAATTTGTCCTCATTGTTATTGTGGTACGGAAGATGAGCTTCATGTATTACTTTCTGTCATTGCTATTCATAGTGTGATAAATTTGTTAAATAGTACAAATATGAACGTTATTAAATCTGCTGCATGATATCTAAAAATGTATTTAATACCAGGTCCCACACGGACCCAGTTGTATTCTGTCGTGTTGTTGTACAATAGGCCATGTGGCCAGACTACTGAATAAACTACTTGATTATATGCTTTTCAATTTGAAGATCATTCAGAAGAAATTTATCAATTTGAAGATCATTCAGAAGAAATTTATCAATTTCAAGATCATTCAGAAGAAATTTATCAATTTGAAGACCATTCAGAAGAAATTTATCAATTTGAAGATCATTCAGAAGAAATTTATCAATTTGAAGACCATTCAGAAGAAATTTATCAATTTGAAGACCATTCAGAAGAAATTTATCAATTTGAAGACCATTCAGCTATGTTTATCAAACTGAAGACCTTTCAGTATATGTTTACCTACTTGAAGATTATTCAGTGGATGTTTATCAATTTGAGTTGACAAAGCCTTTCAACCAGCTTATATTTGTTTGCTTTAACAATATTTTCACATGGTTGGTTTTGTCTGTGTCGCTAAATTTACAGTTGTCTGTTACATTTCATAAACACTACCAGCTGGTTCCAAGTCAAGATTGAATTTATCTTAAAGACTCCTAACATACTAGTGATCCTTTAAAGATGTAAAATTTGCAAATGCATTTTGTGCATTTCACAAAAGACTTGAAAGAACAACATGTTTTTTCTTTATTTTTTGTGCAGTAACAAACAACCAGGAACATGTGATAAATGGCTTAACCAATTATTTTCGATGATTGATCGGTTGTAATGAACCAATCATCAATTATGAGATTTTAACCAATTCCTAACACTGTGGGCTACCCCACCGTCCGGGCTTGAAATGGGATGAAGGAAGGATGAAAGCAAGTGGAGGAGACCAAGACAGTATTAGCCTCTGTCTATGTCCCACTTCATGTCATGGCTTCACCAGGAGAAGCCAGACTTCATCAGAACAACATACTGTCAAGACCCTCAATACAGGATAATGAGAGTGGTCTTAGATGGCTGACACCACTGAAGTTGCTGACAAAACTGGAGATATCATTCATTGGATTCGAAATGTCCCCAAATCTATTTTGTAACCAGTGTATGACAATTCCCTATGTGTATGGGTATTCACTTGTTAAGGGCGATGGGATTAACCAATCTGTGCATTATGTGTATTCACTTGTTAAGGGCGATGGGATTAACTAAACTGTGCATTATGTGTATTCACTTGTTAAGGGCGATGGGATTAACCAATCTGTGCATTATGTGTATTCACTTGTTAAGGGCGATGGGATTAACCAATCTGTGCATTATGTGTATTCACTTGTTAAGGGCGATGGGATTAACTAATCTGTGCATTATGTGTATTCACTTGTTAAGGGCGATGGGATTAACCAATCTGTGCATTATGTGTATTCACTTGTTAAGGGCGATGGGATTAACCAATCTGTGCATTATGTGTATTCACTTGTTAGGGCGATGGGATTAACTAATCTGTGCATTATGTGTATTCACTTGTTAAAGGCGATGGGATTAACTATAGTCTGTTTGGCTCAAAAGCGGACCGATGAATTGCAATCTAACTCGAAAACTAATAAACATATTATACTCAATGAAACGTTGATCATAATCAAAACATCATACCCACTCTGTGAGGTTTTTGCAGAATTTTTGTCTTAAAATAAAAAAGTTGTTTAACAATCTATCATTAAAATATTGACACAGTTCACTATTTGTTATGAGGGAGGAGTGCAGAGAAAGGGACAGCCAGGTGTTCGAGAACGGATGGAGACGGCGCAGCACAGGTTAATGAATAAATAACTTTGTCTGTGAACGGTTTCTTGAACACCTGGCTGTCCCTTTTCTCTGCACTCCTCCTTCGTAACAAACAGTGAACTGTGTCAATATTTTAATGATAGTTTGAGAAACATCATTACTATTTTTAGGACAAAAATTCTGCAAAAAACTCTCAGAGTGGGTATGATGCTTTGATTATGATCAGCGTTTCATTGAGTATGTTATGTTGATTAGTTTTCGAGTTAGATTGCAATTCATCGGTCGCTTTTGACAAACAAACTGTAATCTGTACATTAGGGCTAGGTCAGGGGTATGTTGGTCAGTAAGGTCAGTAGAATGTTTTTATAATGATTTCCTGTGGTTTTCAAGATGGACTCAAGATGAAGTGAAAGTTTTCACAGCAATTAATGATTTCCTGTTGTCCATCAGCCCATCTAGCTAAGGCCACGTTACTGTATAAACTTCTCCAAGATTAACTTTCTCCAAGATAACATGAGATCTACAATAATGTAGAAGAAAGAAAGTGCGCCAGAACAACTTAATGAAATGATTCGCCAATCCAAGTGAATTTCAAGTTAATCAATCTGACAATGAACTCAATAACCTGAGTGAACTGATTATATAATTATATATAACCTCTTAACTATATCAAAACAATATATATACAGTCTCAGCTTGTGTTTGTCCATTATTTGTCATGGGTGTGGGAATTGCCCTACTAGTTACAAAACAAGTGTGGGGAAATGTCAAGATGGGGAATTGTCCGTACACCGTGGAGCCTGAGGCAACTGAGTCCCCTCTTGAGGACAGGCAAGAGGAAGATAGAGAGACTGGATGAGGATGACCAACTCACTAGTTGAGCGTTCTGTGGGGGACAGGAGGCCCCCGCCTCGTCTATGTCTGATTGGCTGGAGGGACAGTTTCCGCTGCAGCTCCTCGGGAATCTCATTCATTGGATTGGCCATCGCTAACGTGTGCCGTTTGGACCACCCACGGTTGTTTAAATATCTGAAAGGAGAGAACACAGGAGTGTCATCTTTTGCTATGTATGTTGTCACTGGACATAGGATGGTCAGTAGTTGCCAGAGAGAGCAAGGTCATAGTTTAATCTAAAGTCCACCCTGCAAGGCGGTCACTCACCTCTGTACTGACTGAACACCCTCAGGCATCAAGCCCTGCACCCTCCCACACCTGTGTACTGACAAGCCCTGCACCCTCCCACACCTGTGTACGGCATCAGCATCCGGCTCCTGGTCTAGCCCTCACCTTCCACCTCGCCTAATGAAGCCCCATCCCGACTCAACTGTGCACTGACAAGCCCTGGCCCCCTCACTCACCTGTGCACTGGCAAGCCCTGCCCCCTCACTCACCTGTGTACTGACAAGCCCTGCCCCCTCGCTCATCTGTGCACTGACAAGCCTTGCCCCCTCACTCACACACCTGTGGACTGACAAGCCCTGCCCCCTCACACACCTGTGTACTGACAAGCCCTGCACCCTCACACACCTGTGTACTGACAAGCCCTGCCCCCTCACACACCTGTGTACTGACAAGCCCTGCTCCCTCACACCCTCACACACCTGTGTACTGACAAGCCCTGCCCCCTCACACACCTGTGTACTGACAAGCCCTGCCCCCTCACACACCTGTGTACTGACAAGCCCTGCTCCCTCACACACCTGTGTACTGACAAGCCCTGCTCCCTCACACACCTGTGTACTGACAAGCCCTGCCCCACTCACACACCTGTGTACTGACAAGCCCTGCTCCCCTCACACACCTGTGCACTGACAAGCCCTGCCCCCTCACACACCTGTGTACTGACAAGCCCTGCACTCCCTCACACACCTGTGTACTGGCAAGCCCTGCCCCCTCACTCACCTGTGCACTGACAAACCCTGCCCCTCACCACCTGTGCCTGACCCCTGCCCCCACTCTCACCTGTGCACTGACAAACCCTGCCCCCTCACTCACCTGTGCACTGACAAACCCTGCCCCCTCACTCACCTGTGCACTGACAAACCCCTGCCCCTCACTCACCTGTGCACTGACAAACCCTGCCCCCTCACCTGTGCACTGACAAACCCTGACAAGTCCCCCTCACTCACCTGTGCACTGACAAGCCCTGCCCCCTCACTCACCTGTGCACTGACAAGCCCTGCCCCCCTCACTCACCTGTGCACTGACAAGCCCTGCCCCCCTCACTCACCTGTGCACTGACAAGCCCTGCCCCCTCACTCACCTGTGCACTGACAAGCCCTGCCCCCTCACACACCTGTGGACTGACGAGCCCTGCCCCCCTCACTCACCTGTGCACTGCATCAGCGTCCGGCTCCTGGTCTGATCCCACATCCTCCACCTCCTCAACTGTGATAGAGTTCTGCAGGGACGGCGTGGGCAGTGGGATCCCTGTAGGTGACAGTGTCGACTGGCTTAGGGGAGACAACCCTGTCGGGGACAGTGTGGTCTGACTCAGGGGAGACAACCCTTCATGACTTCCTGGTTGGCTGTCGAAGTACATCTGGCGTTGGAAGTGTTGTGAGAAGCGGTGGATGTTAGCACCACCATCAGATGCTCTTCTACCCATCTGGGATGTACCTAAATCAGAGGGAGGTTAGAGTAACGGCCCACCTCTCAGTGCAACAAATATGAGACAGGTAAATAAGTGAGTGACTTTGGTTTTACGCCGCTTTTAGCAATATGCTAGCAATGTTACAGCAGGGGACACAATAAATGGGCTTCACACATTGTACACATGTTGGGAATCAAACCAGGCCCTTAGGTGAGATGAATGGAAGCATTAACTACTAGGCTAAACCACTGCCCTGTTGATTAAGGGTAAAACATAAATCACATCATGTAAATAATCACATTGTGACACAATGTCTACAATATGTAACCACATCTGGGATAAACTTGAAAGAGAGGGAGGTTAAAGTAATGGCACAGCAGACAGCAGCAAATATGAGGAAGGTTTAAGTAGTGGTAGTCTAATTAATTGAGTGAGTTTAGTTTTACGCTGCACTCAGCAATATTCCAGCTATATGGCGGCGGTCTGTAGATAATGAAGTCTGGACCAGACAATCCAGTGATCAACAGCATGAGCATCAATCTGCGCAATTAGCAACCGATGACATGTGTCAACCAAGCCAGGGAGCCTGACCACCGGACCCCTTTAATCGCCTCTTACCAAATTAATTGAAATAATCGAAGATTGGTCGCAGTGACTAAACGACCAAGCAATTGATCATGTTTTCTCATAATCGACCACAAACAATTTTGGAACACTTGTTTGCATTAATAATATTTTGCACAAGGTTGATTTTGTCTGTGTCAGTAAATTTACATTTCATAATCACTGCAAGCTCGTTCCAAGTCATGATTGAATTGATCTTAATGATTCCAGGAAATTTATGTTCCTAACATACTAGTCAGATGCGAAATTTGCAAATACATTTTGAGCATTTTGCACAAAAAAACCCAAAGAACTACAGGTCTTTATAAATTTGTGTGTGCATTAATAAAAACAACAGGAAAATTTCATAAATGACGCAAACCAATTATTTTCGATAATCTACGTGTTGTAATGAACCAATCATCAATTATGAGATTTTAACCAATTCCCAAAACAAGGTTTAAGTTATGGGCCAACTCATAAGTCATGTTTTCTATAAGAATACCCTCAGACAATTTTAACAATCTGAAACAACAAATCATACCTTGCCCTGGAATGGGAGGCTGAAGCAGGTTGTGATCAGTGATGGAGACGTTCTGGAGGGGCGAGGAGACTGGTGGGAGGTACTGCGGGAGGTTTGTGTTGGGGAACGTCGTGAACGGCATGAAGAACGTCGGCTGGGGAGTGGCTATGAGGGCTTGGTTCTGGGCCATCTTGACTCGGGCATCTTCTGGCGCCTCGTGCCGGGGGTCGCCAACTCCGACTGTGTGGCGCCGCATCGCCAAATACCGTGCCAGAGCCTCTGGGCATGGCTCCTCGTCAGAATCTGACTGATTACTGTCCTCAGGCTGGGAAAGAAGAAAAACAGAGTTATCTCCCCTTGAATTACCTCAACGATCTCATTACTGATCTGTTTGATTGGCATTTTTAGAAGTAGATGAATGATAGGAAAGGTAGATACATTATGGATAACAACTTCTTCAAAATCTTATGATGCGACGTTTCGGTATACATTCCCGGACAAAAACAAAACTGTCCAAAATGTGACTTAAATATGAATCATGCCATGTGTACACTAAGTGGATAAAGTCAGTTTTAGAGAATTTCACAAGCATCCAGGTTAGTTATTCAGCAATTGGCCCCTCAAACTAAGGTGTGCTTTCTTTCGTTGTTTATCAATGTAAAAAGTCAATTAGAATGAGAAATGTTCCAATTTTGACCGTTGAAAGTATTTTGGAGTTGTAGAGAAATTTAACGATGAATCCTTCACAAGCTTGATAAACATGTGAGAGGCATGATAAAACAATGTTTTCAAAATCTAAGAAATTTAATACATTAAATATAACATCCATATAAATTATTATAAATAAAACATGTTGCTGTTTGCAGTTAGCTTTGTGTATGATCATTGAATTGAACATTTTTAATCTTCAGAGAAGTAAGATTATGCTATCATTTCACATGACATATATATGACACTTAAACGAGTTCCATGAAATGACACAAACAATTTTGACAATTGATTGGCTTTAATGAACCAATCATCAATCATGAGATTACTATGTACCAAGTTTAAATACTAGAATGAAGTGATCATGTAAAAGTGGTTTTACTCACAGCTGAGAGTTGATTTTTGTCGTTGTTAAATTGCACTTGGGTAATGGCACTTAGATGAGCAGCTAGGAGGGGCAGGGTGGTGGGGGGTTGAGGAGACGCCCTCTCCCCTTCGTGGACCTCCACAGGCACCTCCACTCGCTCCACTGGAACACACATCGCGACAGTATGAGGTCATGTCTTGACAATATGAGATTACACGTTGACAATATGAGTTCACTTGTTGACAGTATGAGGTCACATCTTGACAGTATGAGATCACATCTTGACAATACGAGGTCACATCTTGAAAGTATGAGATCACATCTTGACAATATGACATCTAACCCAGATATTCACAGGTCACCACCCGAACCCGTCAGTCGCCTCTTACGACAAGCATGGGTTGCTGAAGACCAGATCTGACCCAGATATTCACGGGTCACCACCCGATCCCGTCAGTCGCTTCTTACGACAAGCATGGGTTGCTGAAGACCAGATCAGACCCGGATATTCACGGGTCACCACCCGATCCCATCAGTCACCTTTTACGACAAGAATGGGTTGCTGAAGACCGGATCTGACCCATATATTCACGGTTCACCACCCGATCCCATCAGTCGCCTCTTACGACAAGAATGGGTTGCTGAAGACCAGATCTGACCCGGATATTCACGGGTCACAAGGTGGTCATTACTCACCCACACCAGTGGTGATGCTGGACCTCCTCTCTGTCCTCGTCGCTATGGGCAAGTTCTGGGGCAGAACTATACTAGGAAGTTTGCTGGTCAGTGTCTTTGGATGCTTTTTGTATTTCTCAAGGAGTAGATGGTAGATTGCACTGTGGTGGTCGTAGCACTGCTCCAGCACAGACTGAAACAGGGAAGGTTGAGCTGTGTCCTAACACAGAGGAGACACATAAGTTGTTCACTGGTCTCGAGGGGGACATCAACCCATGGGCCCCGAAGGACCAGTGAACAACGTATTTATCTTACCGAACACCTCAATGGTTATTTTGAACTGTTTGAAGCACGGGTATCGGATCATAGTATGGAGTACCAGACGACTAGTAAAACAAATTTAGAGTTATCTCCCTTCCATCGATTTGCATTCGCAAAACATCAGTAATTTCCGTACATCATACGTGATTCAATGTTATTCGAGATAAAGAATTACTACTACGTAGTACCAAAGGAGTTTGGTATTCCTAGCGGGGTACATAGAAAATGTTACTCGCTTGTAAGCGGGGTACATTGAAAATAATAGAAGAGCGCTCAGCCAATCAGAAAACGACATTTATATGTGACGCAAGATAAGCAGCATTGCAGGCTAAACAGTTTGGGGAAATTCAAATGCAAACATACAAACAATTATAGGTACTAAAGAAAGCAGTCAATCATAAAACAGGGTTCAAATAGATTATTATTGAAGACATTTTTAGAGGTTTTTCAGGGTAGGAAGGTTGGTTGGATAATTGTTTAACGCCGCACTCAGCATTATTTGATCTTTATGACTGCGGTCTTTAAATAATCAAGTGAAGACCAGACAATCCAGTGATCAACAACATGAGGATCGATCTGCACAATTGGGAACCGATGACATATGTCAACCAAGTCAGCGAGTCTGACCACTCGATCTCGTTAGTCGCCCCTTACGACAAGTATGGGTTACTGAAGACCAATTCTAACCCGGATCTTCACAGGTAAAGCCCAGGCAACAATTTCAAGGAGTATAGAAACACATACAAGGCACAGTTAAGTACACACAAGGTTGGTTGCTGCACTTGGAAAGTTTGGATTGAGATTAATTAACACCCATTGTCATTGCAAGGTATTTTTAATATGTATTAATTTATTGTAAAATCATAACTTGCCAAGCTTTGCTAAATATGGAGCCTTTATAGGGCAAATCACTGGCAATTAGGCCTTTTCAAAGCTAAAACAATATTAGCACCTTTTTAGGGTAAAATGACCAAATTTCAGGCATTTTCAAGCCTGTGCGACCCTTGTATAGCTGTCTCTCTTGCATGCCTCCCTATCCAGAGTTATCTCCCTTACTCTAAACTATTGCTATTCGTCCATAATCTTACAGTTTTATGTTTGACATAAAGATGAGTGAGTGAGTGAGTTAAGTTTTACGTGGCACTCAGCAATATTCCAGCTATATGCCGGCGGTCTGTAAATAATCGAGTCTGGACCAGACAATCCAGGGATCAAAAGCATGACCATCAATCTAGGCAATTGGGATACGATGACATGTGTCAACCCAGTCAGCGAGCCTGACCACCCGATCCCGTTAGTCGCATCTTACGACAAGCATGGGTTACTGAAGATCAATTCTAACCCGGATCTTCACGGGTCTGACATCTAGATGATGTGAGGGAGAAAGTGTCCCGCCTCCCAAATGTGGACTCCACCTCACCTTCAAGGTCCTCTCCTTGTCGAAGCCTAGTTCCTCGATATACTGCAGGATCTGGGGGTTTGGTTGGATCGTGCGGGTTGGGTCCAGGTCCTCAACTTGGTTGTACTCCTGGATCATTTGCTGAAACTCCACGTCTATGTCGCCGAGCTTCATCCACTTATGTGTAATTATCTGGTCCACTGACAACCTCTTGTTGGCATCAACAATCAGCATGTGTCGGATTAAGTTTTCACACTCTGAGGACAAAACAGATTGGGAATGTTTCACATAATCTGTTCCAGCATGTGATCAACAAATTTGCCACATTTCGAAAGGACTAATTTAAATTCTAAATGTTACGTCTAAATCCACTGCCCATGTGCCTGGCTTGATTTCAAAGATTCAGCTCACGTGCAGAGATTTTAAATTTGTGCATTTTTGGTACACTGAGATCACAAAACCAAATGCTAGTGACAGTGCCAAACATCAAAACCAACTTTGGCAAAAGGTCGTTCGCTTTCAATGCAGCAATGAAGTGGAATGCGCTACCGCTTGAACTCAAAACCAGCGAGTCACTAACATCTTTTAAGACTGGCCTCAAAACATTTCTTTTCAAGTGTCAATTTCCATCTTAAGCGCACAGAGCATTTTATTAGTGAATGACGCGCTATATAAATGCAATTATTATTAATTATTATTATTACATCTTGACTCTAGTTTATACTCTCACTAATCAAACATAGCCCAATCTAACATGAACAAATCAAGCACGGATGGATCAAGCATAGATAAATCAAAGATGAGTGAATCAAACTAACATGGATGACTCAAACATTCATGAATCAGGCATGGCCAAATCAAAAATGACTGAATCAAGCAAAATGAAGTGGCCCTAGCACTCACCTGTAGACATGAAAAATGGAATGCGGAATTTGCCGCTGAGCACCCGAGATCGCAGCGACTGCAGTGTGCTGCCATCAAATGGCAGAGCACCACACACAAGTACATAGAGAACCACCCCCAGACTCTGCAAACATACAGCATTTATTATGTATCTAAAGTCATAATTACCTTCAGAAACATCATCAATATCTCAATCACAACAACTGCCAGATTTACTGCTCGGCATGCTCCTTTATCCTTAAAAGTTAAGAGGCAGTGGTGGGAACAAACAAGCCATTGTGTCGTCCACCTCAAGGGCGTCATATTCCCTCTCACAAACAGTTCCAGATAAGCATAGGGGGACAAACTACTCAACCAGACATCCACCTTGAGGGTCACATATGTTATATTTGGGATTACACTTTCTTAGTAAAGTACAAATTCTAGTACTTTTTGGGTTGAGTCTCTTCCGGGGTTCGAACCCACACCCTCAGAGTCAGGCACCCTCTGAGGGTGTGGGTTTGAATCCCGGATGGGACTCAACCCAAAAAGTACTAAATCAGTACTAGAAAAGTGTAATCCCAAATATAACATATGTTACATTTGACCACTTTCTAAAATGGCATTGTGTATATCATAGCTTTCGGCCGTGGGAGCCGTGCCAATTAACACTTATCAGAGGGGTACACAAAGTCCGCAGTCTAGACCACCAGTTGTCCGACTTCCATTTTTGTGGAGGACGCGGTTGCTAAGCGGTCTAGGTGTCTGACTTTGTGTGCTGGTGATTAGGTGCCTGACTCTGAGGGTGTGGGTTCGAATCCCGGATGGGACTCAACCCCAAAAGTACTAGAATCTGTGCTTTACTAAGAAAGTGTAATCCCAAATATAACATATGTTACATTTGACCACTTTCTAAAATGGCATTGTGTATTTCACACTTTGAGGGTGTCATATTCCCTCTCAAACACTTCCAGATAAGCATAGAGGGTACAAACTACTCACCAAGAAATCCACTTTGAGGGTGTCATATTCCCTCTCACAAAGAGTTCCAGATAAGCTAGGGGGGGGACAAACTACTCACCCAGACATCCACCTTGGGGGCGTCATATTCCCTCCCTTCGAACAGCTCTGGGGCAGCATATGGGGGACTGCCACACCATGTTTTCAGTTTGGTTCCAGGGGAGAAATAGTTGCTGAACCCAAAATCTGTAACCAGGGAGATTTCAACATCAATATTTAACATGACACTCAATAAATCTCAGAACTATACCCTCATCAACGACAAGACCAGTTGAGTCCTCTTTTCCTCCACAATATCATCAACATATTTGTCTGGTGTCCCCTGCCGTGATATTGCTGGAAAGTGGAATATTGCTAAAAGTGGCATAAAACCCAACTCACTCACTCAAAATATTTGTAACTAAAATAATTATGTGCAGTTTGTCTGTTTCCCAGGTGTTAGAAAATATATTTAAAATGAGTCCAACAGAAATATAAAATTTTGATTCAAATTTTGGTATCTCTAGCTCTGAAATTTATTTATTTCCATATTTTCTTATAGTTTACTTAACAATGTACTACTTATCCATTATTATACTGCATTTCTGTATTTTCTTTATTAATTGTATAGTTAATAATGTACTAACTTTTGTATTGTAAAGTCGCCTTTTGTGGCAAGCATGGGTTGCTGAAGACCTATTCTACCCCAGATCTCCACGGGTCCAATAACATCTCAAACACATCTGAGTAGGACTGCATGGCATTACCAGTGTAGCGGTATATCGCAATACGCTTTTTAAACAATACGTATTGCAATATTTTTTCAGAGAACCGGTATATTGGGTAAAGAACATATGAAGTGTTTGTGATTATCTTTATGGTTTAAATTAAAATATACAAACTTTCATTCACAAAAAAATGTTTTCCTTCTTATTCAATGACAAAATGGCATACTGTAATAGTATGAACTGTGTAAAAATGACAATAGAATCCTGACTGTGCAACCTAATTTTGAGATTGATGTTATCAGAACCATATCATATATGTTTACGGACTTATAATGTAGAAAATAGGATTGACATGCACAATTAGTGTCACCCACTGCCAAACACTTAAGTTACCAATATATCGCAATACAGGTCCCTGAATCGCAATATATTGCAATACAGTTTATTTGCCAATACACAGCCTACATCTGAGCATTCAAGATACTTGTATACAAAGAGTGATTGCATTTTCAAAAGTCAGATGAAGGGAGACAACTCCTCCAACCATGAGAGAGTAGAGGTTGCTCCAACACTTCGTGATGTCCACATGACTAGGACTGGATCCATTCTAGGCAAACAATCCTCCAGTTGCCATTGTGTCCAACTGATCCACATTCTAGTTGTCACGGTTTATACGATGTGTATTTCTGTGTATTTGACACAGTTATTTCCTGAAACACCCACAAAGGTTTTGGATAGAGTCACAACTGATGTACTAAATTCGGCTAGGAAATCTACACTCAGCCTGAGTATTCTTCCAGCAGAAGAATGGCCTATCTGGCTATTTGGATATTAAGGTTGGCGTCCAGCAGTAGAATGGACCTACCGGCTATTTTGATATTAAGGTTGGCGTCCAGCAGTAGAATGGTCCTACCAGCTATTTGGACATTAAGGTTGGCGTCCAGCAGTAGAATGGACCTACCAGCTATTTTGACATTAAGGTTGGCATCCAGCAGTAGAATGGACCTACTGGCTATTTGGACATTAAGGTTGGTGTCCAGCAGTAGAATGGACCTACCAGCTATTTTGATATTAAGGTTGGCGTCCAGCAGTAGAATGGACCTAAGCTATTTTGATATTAAGTTTGGCGTCCAGCAGTAGAATGGACCTACCGGCTATTTTGATATTAAGGTTGGCGTCCAGCAGTAGAATGGACCTACCGGCTATTTTGATATTAAGGTTGGCGTCCAGCAGTAGAATGGACCTACCAGCTATTTGGATATTAAGGTTGGCGTCCAGCAGTAGAATGGACCTACCAGCTATTTTGATATTAAGGTTGGCGTGCCCAGCAGTAGAATGGACCTACCAGCTATTTTGACATTAAGGTTGGCGTCCAGCAGTAGAATGGACCTACCAGCTATTTGGATATTAAGGTTGGCGTCCAGCAGTAGAATGGACCTACCAGCTATTTGGATATTAAGGTTGGTGTCCAGCAGTAGAATGGACCTACCAGCTATTTTGATATTAAGGTTGGCGTCCAGCAGTAGAATGGACCTACCAGCTATTTGGACATTAAGGTTGGCGTCCAGCAGTAGAATGGACCTACCGGCTATTTTGATATTAAGGTTGGCGTCCAGCAGTAGAATGGACCTACCAGCTATTTGGATATTAGGTTTGGCATCCAGCAGTAGAATGGACCTACCGGCTATTTTGATATTAAGGTTGGTGTCCAGCAGTAGAATGGACCTACCAGCTATTTTGACATTAAGGTTGGTGTCCAGCAGTAGAATGGACCTACCAGCTATTTGGACATTAAGGTTTGCGTCCAGCAGTAGAATGGACCTACCAGCTATTTGGACATTAAGGTTGGTGTCCAGCAGTAGAATGGACCTACCAGCTATTTGGATATTAAGGTTGGCATCCAGCAGTAGAATGGACCTACCAGCTATTTTGATATTAAGGTTGGCGTCCAGCAGTAGAATGGACCTACCAGCTATTTTGACATTAAGGTTGGCGTCCAGCAGTAGAATGGACCTACCAGCTATTTGGACATTAAGGTTGGCGTCCAGCAGTAGAATGGACCTACCAGCTATTTGGACATTAAGGTTGGCGTCCAGCAGTAGAATGGACCTACCAGCTATTTGGACATTAAGGTTTCCAGGTAGAATGGACCTACCTAGCAGTAGAATGGACCTACCAGCTATTTGGACATTAAGGTTGGCGTCCAGCAGTAGAATGGACCTACCAGCTATTTTGGACATTAAGGTTAAGGTTGGCATCCAGCAGTAGAATGGACCTACCAGCTATTTGGATATTAAGGTTTGCATCCAGCAGTAGAATGGACCTACCAGCTATTTTGATATTAAGGTTGGCATCCAGCAGTAGAATGGACCTACCAGCTATTTGGACATTAAGTAGTAGAATGGACCTACCAGCTATTTTGATATTAAGGTTGGTGTCCAGCAGTAGAATGGACCTACCAGCTATTTGGACATTAAGGTTGGCGTCCAGCAGTAGAATGGACCTACCAGCTATTTTGACATTAAGGTTGGTGTCCAGCAGTAGAATGGACCTACCAGCTATTTGGACATTAAGGTTGGCGTCCAGCAGTAGAATGGACCTACCAGCTATTTGGACATTAAGGTTTGCGTCCAGCAGTAGAATGGACCTACCAGCTATTTTGACATTAAGGTTGGCGTCCAGCAGTAGAATGGACCTACCGGCTATTTTGACATTAAGGTTGGCATCCAGCAGTAGAATGGACCTACCTGGCTATTTTGATATTAAGGTTGGCGTCCAGCAGTAGAATGGACCTACCAGCTATTTTGATATTAAGGTTGGCGTCCAGCAGTAGAATGGACCTACCAGCTATTTTGATATTAAGGTTGGCGTCCAGCAGTAGAATGGACCTACCAGCTATTTTGATATTAAGGTTGGCATCCAGCAGTAGAATGGACCTACCAGCTATTTTGATATTAAGGTTGGTGTCCAGCAGTAGAATGGACCTACCAGCTATTTTGATATTAAGGTTGGTGTCCAGCAGTAGAATGGACCTACCAGCTATTTTGATATTAAGGTTTGGCGTCCAGCAGTAGAATGGACCTACCAGCTATTTTGATATTAAGGTTGGCATCCAGCAGTAGGTTTTCAGCCTTGAGATCCCGGTGGACAATGTGACGACAGTGGCAGTAGGACACAGCAGCTACAATCTGTTTGAACTTCTTTCGTGCTTCTTTTTCATTCATTCTCCCGTGAGCAACAAGGTGATCTGGAACAATAAACAAAATCCTCAACATTCTCGTCAAATTGAAATCAACTCCTTTCAGTCAGGGTAGCAATCAATACAGAGGAAGAGATTGGCCCTAGACCTCCAGTCCTCACTGAAACTAGAGCTGGTTATCGTTACATTTCGTCAGATCGATAATCGCTAGTGTCAGATCAATAATCAATCGATTATAATCGTTTGGACGGTCATTTCATAGTCAATACCTACGTTAGCGAACTAACTTCCGGGCTGTTGTCAGCACCTGTCAACTCACTTCAATGATGGACCATTGTTGTCAGCACCTGTCAATTTCGTAGTATTTCAATGATGACGTGAGGCCATTCTGGGAAAGGCTTCCCTAATCTAAACATGTATCTAGCATTGCCACTGGCTGACAGGGGAATAAAAGTTTTAATGCACACTTGATTATTTCTGACAGCTTCCATTAAAATTTTAAACAAGCAATGACTTAGACCAGATTAAACGGTAAAAGACAAACACAAGGTAGAATAAAAACTGTTCTAATGCATGTGCATACAGCCCATCCAAATAATGATTATTTCCGATGGATCGATCTGCAGTTTATTTGACTTCAATTGACAATAGCAATACAATTTGACTTAGATCGAGCGATTAAACAATCCTCAACGATTAATGGCTCCAGCACTACTGTTAAACTGACCAGTAACAGGCTATGTCTCGTAATAAAGACTCCTGAGGTATGTGAGGTGGTGGTGCAGTTGCACTATCTAAGGTCTTAGTCTGGCATACAGCCCGGAGGTCACAAATCAGTTCTGCTATCTACTGTATACCATTCCAGGTTCATGATATTTTTACCCGTGAAGATCCGGGATAGAATTGGTCTTCAGTAATCCATGCTTGTCGTAAGAGGTTACAAACGTGATCGGGTTGTCAGACTCGTTGATTTGGTTCACACAAGTCATCATATCCCAATTGTCTAGATCGATGCTCATGCTGTTCATCACTGGATTGTCTGGGTCAAAGTACCGCCTCTGTGGTGTAGTGGTTAGAGCGTCTGCCCGGAGAATGGAAGGTCGCGGGTTTGATCCCTGACCATACCAAAAGATGTTAAAGTATGGTACTTGTTGGTCCCTGCCTGGCGCTCGGCATTAATGGGTACAACAAGGACTGGTCGGCTCAGAGTCAGTATAATGTGTCTGAGTGGGGTATTCAGGCTGTAACGAATACACTATGTTGCGAATATGATACGTATCACGAATATTGGGTACCGAATACGAATAATTATTCACGAATACAATATTGTAGTTAAGTGACTGATGCACAATATTGAATGCCCATGTTGACAGTGTTAATTTGTCACAGCAATAACCAGTCATCTCATGACACTCAAATTTGGTATGTAATAGTTAAGTTGACAGTACCATGTGCGGCCTTGGCAAACTAACATGACTTGCGCTACTACAAGGCTAGTACATAATGCATTCTTGCATATCTCATTTTGAAAAAGGACATAAGGGTTCAAGTAAAACACACTCCCTTAAAAATTGTAAATATTCATGAATATTCGGTTCTGGTGACCACGAATAACGAATTGAATTCATGAAGGGCTACGGTTCGATTCACCGAATATGCGAGTGAATCGTTACAGCCTTAGTATTCATGCTTCACTGCGGCATGGTATCTCAGTGAGCTAGCACTATAAAACCAGCTTCAGTCTGGGCTAGTACAAGCAGCCGCACATACCATACACACGCATGCACGTCATCATATGAGCGAAATATTCTCAAGCACGACGTTAAACCCAATTTCACCTCACCTCACCTGGGTCAAAGTCGATTATTTACAGACGGACGCCATATAGCTGGAATATTGCTGTGTGCGGCGTAAAACTAAACTCAATCACTCATGATATCTGTTTTGTAGTATGAACACTCTAACATATGTGAAGTTTACACAGAATCGTCTGTCTGTTGTCTTGTCATGGTAAGTCAATGGGTAGTACATTAACACTGTCAACAAGATCAAAACAGGTGAAACAATTATTTTGTTATCGTTTCACTAAACATATTGAATAATACATCAACTGCTGCCTACTTTTTATCCCACATTTTTATTCCTTACCCAATATTTATATTATTAACCAATATCCGTCACATGCATCATAATTGCCTTAAAATAGATTAATCGTAGCCCTGGTAAAAAGGTGTATGAAAACCCTGCATTAAATCGCTTTTCTCTTCCTCCAAGTACCGGTCCAGTTAACAGTGACATGTGTCATGTAAATCCATAACTACTGAAACAGGATTCTCTAAGTATGGAATGGGATCTTTAGACTGATTCTGCTGACTCCATCCCTATAATGTCCTGAGAACAGGTCAAGATGACCCGTATATGACTTAGTCGCCAGGTCAGGGGTCTTGTTAGTGGCCATCCAGCTGCTTGAGATCAGGCAGCTGCCTCAGTACACGTGTACCGATGCCAACAATAATAGACATCTTGGGGCTGGTGCAGCTGGACTAGATGTTAAATGACAAACTAGATGGTAAATGACAAACTAGATGGTAAATGACAAACCAGATGGTAAATGACAAACTAGATGGTAAATGACAAACCAGACATATGGGATTAATTCCCTGATGGCATAAAATTGTAATTAACTTAGGCCAGACCAATTTTATTTCTTGTTTTACGGATCTGCCAGTCGGATCTTTTCAACAATCAAAAAAAAAAGAAAAAAAGAAAAATTAATTTTGAACAATGAAGAGAGTTCTATGGATATACAACTTCTTTAACATAACATGAGCGACGTTTCGCTGTAGCTAGTAACACAGTTATCAAACAAATGATGTACAACACTAGAAGCAAGGTATATGGGTCATTTTCAAAATTGGTAGGATTTTCTGTCCGTTCCAAATAAAAAAACAATCTATTAACTTAAAAGGATTTTTTTGTGCTAGAAAACATATTTAGAAGTTTACTAGTCAGTAAAAGTGGTATATCATTAGTCTTGTCATTTTGAAATTTATATTTAGCCACATTTTAGGGTCAAAATTGGCCGATTTGCTCTGTCCGGAGGTGACGGTCCTAATATCAATGTTCACAAATAATGTAAATATAAATGCAAATAAACAAACTAATTCATATTATGCCAGTAACCATTGAACAGGCATACTCAAACTGCATTTAATTTTTTTTTTTAACTTAAAAAGTTTTTTTCTACAAATTGTAACATGCTTGTCCTGTCATTTTGTGTCCTGACCGTTACCAGTGTATGAAATTCCTGCAATAATTTCCCCATGGAGCTGGATTGTAATTCTACTACCTGTGTCTGCTTGAGCTAGTCCCTGTGGATGTGACAGCAAAAGAAATAATGAAATTATTTCACATTTTGCAGACAATTGACACTATCAAATAAGTATAAATGTTATGTGTCAACCTTAATTGTCCAGACCGTTACCAATGTATTTTGTGTCAAATATATCTCTTTGTTTTTTAACATTTCAATGGATATGTTGCCCAGAAATGGAAGAGGTGGAAGGCATGTCCTTTGAAATCTTTTAGGGATCATTCATTTTTTTATTTTAGATTTACGTACAAATTGTCTTGATCGTTACTGTCCAAACCGTTACCATTCTGCAAAGTAGCGGTTTGGACAGTCCTTGTAACGGTCTGGACAAAATGATTTGTATTTCAAAAAGTTGTTCATTACTATTTGAAATATAACAAATTTATTATTACTTTAAGGGTTAAGATATGTTTAAGCATGGAATTTTACTGTTCAAAGGAGTTTTGATGTAGTATCATAAAAAACACAGTCTCTAGTAACGGTTTGGACAAATAATAGTAACGGTCTGGACATATCTTTCATAAATTTCAATTTTAAAGAATATGTTCCATGGTGTGATAATAATTTTTTATTTACTTATCTATCTGCTTTAAATAATAAACACCAAAACGAATTTATCACGTTAAGTTTCTATTTTCTATAAGATCTATAGTCTATATAAATTAAAGGTAACGGTTAGGACATCTATGGTAACAGTATTCCAACCTTTAAAGATTTTTTGGGTGTAAACTGTTTTAACTTTAACTGTGAGATATGTAAGGCTACCGTTTACTTTGAATATTTGCTAGGTGCTAATATGTTGGCCAAACCTTTGTATTTGATAAATATGTGTTACCATCTCATGATTAACAAAAGTAAAGGTATCCAGTGAATGAAAGAAGGATATTTAAGTAGAGACTAATATTGCACCATAATATCAACAGCAAAATGACATCTATTCAGTGGCCTGTGTAGCATGACCATGTGTACAGTATCATAGTTGTTGCAGTACCTTTCAGAATTTAATCTTTTGGATCTTTTTAGAGGGATAACATTTGTTTGTTACACTGAAGTCCTGACCGTTACCAATAATGTCACAACCGTTACTATTCATTCAATTTTCGTTCCCCAATTGCACTCTTCTTTAGATTATAAGTGATTTTCAACCTAGACAGGTGTGTTTTTCTATTCTTTAGAAGCTACAGTTTGTTTTTATTCAAAAGCCTAAATTCATTCACAAGTTTCATATTGATATAACAAATGTCCAAACCGTTACCACAGCATGGAAGAAAACATGTCACATTTGTTACAAGTTAAAATTTCTAATACACATTTCACTGTCTGTCCAAAATAGGGTTAGCAGTTGAAGTAAATAATATAATTTTTTTCTTTCATGTTACCTGTTTCTATGTTGAATTAAATTGTTTAAGGTTTATGTCCAGCCCGTTACCATTCCTATCCAAACCGTTACCACTGTTGTCCTAACCGTTACTGGTGTTAATTGACTGCTCTAATTAATTCATGATAATACATGAAAACTCCTCTTTATGCTGGTGTCATCTAAAGATGTCCTGGGCTTAGTAGCTGATGTGATTTTTAGACAATATTACCTGCGGAAAGCTATATGCATAATAATGTTTGAGAAAAATGCAATTATTTTGTGGTAAATAAATGAAAGATACAAAATAACACTTTC